CTCACACGACCAACCAGGACCAGGGACAAACCGCAACGGAGGTACGAGCCCCTAGCAGGAACCGAACCCGGGTCTCTCTGGACTGCGGGCCAACGCTCTAACCGCTGAGCCAAACTGGCCAGGGCTATTTTTGTATGTTTTTATTGATTTTTAGAGAAAGAGGAAGAGAGAGATAGAAACATCGATGTGAGAGAGATACATCTATCAGCTGCCTCCTGCACACCCCCTACTAGGGAAGGAGCCCGAAACCGGGGCATGTACCCTGCCTTGGAATCGAACTGGGAACTCTCAGTCCACGGGAGGACTCTGAATCCACTGAGCACCATCTGCCAGGCTAGTAGTGATAGAATTTAAAATGGTGAAAAAATGTTAATAGCAGGTGACCATGTAATACGAATTAAAATTTACCATTTTGGACTACAAAGGGTCCTCAATGTTTTGAAAAATATGACATAGCATAATAGAGATCATTTCCTATAATCCCATTTGAGGATAATTAAAAACAAAGTATGATGTAAATAGAACAACTGCTTGGAAATTTCTGAAGTCTCCCAAATAATCTTTGTATCAAAGAAGGCACCAAAGTCAATGTTGCACAATACTTTAAAAATGCTAACAATGGATATACTACTAAGGTGTTAAATGGAGATAACATTATCCAATGAAGATAATTCATACCATTTTATACTTAACACTTATGATGAGCGTGTGAAAATGAATGAAACACTGCAGCTTAAAATGTTAGAAACTGAAAAGGAACACAAAGAAGTCAGAGCAATAAAAATAAAGTTTAGCATAAAATGTTCTAAGGTTCTGAAAATTAGAATGCTTGATATGAAAATGTAAGAACTACTTATAGGGTAGCTCATTTTTCTTTTCCCTGAGCATGCCCAGTGAACTCTGGACTCTGTCAAATGCTTCCCCAAGTACAGCTTGAAGCATGACGGAAAAGCCACATTCCCGGGAGGTTTTGAGGGTCATGCAAGCCAAGTCCACACTTAGGTACTCTGTTCTTGGAAGCTGAGCCTTGCAAAGAGTTGTTGAAACAAGCTCAGAGGGGGCACTGGTGCTGTGCCCTAACTCCTGAACTTGCTTGCCCTCCTGGGTTGCCCAGGCTGGTCAGGCCAGCTGACCCCACTCGTTTGGGAGGCAGGTGCTTTTCTCTCTGGCTGTCACTTATCCCATGGTCCCCAAATGTCACATAGATGCCTTGGTTTACCTATCTTTTCCCAAGTTGGTGTAATTTTTACATTCTCCCTTGCAGAGAATGGGAGTTCTAGTTTCTCCACATCTTTGCTAATTCCTGTTGTCTTCAGTGTTTTAAAATGTGGTCTTTTTCACGGGTGTGAGTGGTGTCTCTTGCTTCTCATCAGTGTCCCTCTGGTGCGTAACAATGCTGGTCACTTCTCCATGTGCTCCATGGGCCTTTCTTTCCTTGGGAGTGGTCTTTTCGAGGCTTATGTCCATTTTAAATTCCTTTGTATTTTTATTGTTTATTTATTGGGGTGTCAGAGCTTGAGGAGGGAGAGGAAGTATTGATACAGAGGATAAGGCTGTCCTGCCATGGGACCTAGAGTCAAGGAGAGGGAGAGGGCAGCCTCACGGAGTGGCAGTCAAGCATGGGGTGTCAGTCGGGAGAGGTGAGGGAGGCACCTATGAGGACGGGTAGGGGCAGCTGCACGGTTTGGGGGAGTTAAAGTCCACCCATGCTGATAATTGTGGCCTTGTGAGCGTGGAACCTTGACAAGGGGAATCGGAGGCCGAGCAGGGTAAGAGGGACTTCCCCTCAGAGGGGTGCCCCTGGGTGCAGTATCAGAGCCCAAGCACTGCCCCACCTGGGGGCAGTCTGCATGGAGTCCCAGGGCCTCATCGGGGCAAGGGGGCATCCACAAGGAGGGGCCGCCTGGTGTGGTTACTGTAGCCCAAGTATGGGAAGGAGAACATCCTGACCCAGGCGAGGTTTTGGTGGCAGAAATGGAAGATTGGTTCCATAGGAGAATTGATCACATAAGGCAACGTACTAAGGGTAACGGGAGACAAGTGTGTCACTGTCAGCCAAGGGAGGTATAAATACAGAAAGGGAAACGACCCTGTGGTGTTGGGTTAGAGTAAGATGTATCAGTATGAGTTCATGGTACCCAGAATGTATAGGTAAATCTAGTAATAAAGGCAGCTATAAATGCATATGTGGGGTCCACACCCCTCTCTCTACATGCCTGTGTGTATACACAGTCCCCAGCTCTGCTCACTGAGAAGCCTGGTAGCTGTGCCCCGTGGCAGTGAGCACACTGAGTGCACAAACCTTCACTTCTCGGCCACCTTTTAAACCAGAACCAGGGTCTTTGGAGAAACGTCCAATCAGAGAGCTGGGGCGGGAGGATGCACGATGAGCCTGGATACTCGGTTATGTCAGAAGGGAAGGACCTTCCCAAAGATTGATGTTGTTCTGTGAACAAAGAGCCACTGAGCGTTTTCATCCAAGATTTGGTAGCACAGCTCTTCGAGTCCAGAGCTGTGTGTCAGGCAGCCAGCTGGGCTGCTCTTTGTCCTGTTAAAGGGCTTGCCAAGACCTGGACTCATTGATTTCTACAGGTTACAAAAATAAACTTTTCTGACCCCTGTTTGTCAGTCTATGCTGCAATAAAATCAGGAGATGCTTATTGCTCGTCACAAATCAAGGTAACCACCCACAGCCCACACTCAGTAAGTCCTGGGAATTTGCTTGAACTGAATGTTGACTTAGAAGGGAGCCAGGACTCTGTGTCTTTAGCCAAGGTGCTGAAACCTTGAGGCCAGCTGCCTCGTCCTTCAAATGGCATAATTTTACCTTTGGCAAAGGTAATAGAGTGTATTAAAAGAGAGGTGATGGATGTGAAAATTCTGTAAATTGCCAGTCTCCCTGTTAACGGGAGGCATACGACATTGTGTAAATGGGTAGTAACAAGTCTGAGTTTTCCTAATCAATAGAGCTTAGAAATAACTACACAAATCAAGTTAGGACAAATATGATGGTATCTTTATAGAATATGTCTTTATACAAGCATTACTGCTAGTGATCTAGTCATGTATATCATTCCAGTGATGTTCGGATTCTCATGATCACTAAATGCTCTCCATTGATCAGCTCTGCAGGCTATGCTGTCTGTGCTGTGGGTCTGTCCAGTGAACTCCCTGTCAATCCTCCACAGAATCCACGCCCGTGGTGCTGTCTAAAATCTGCCTTCCCAGCCATGCACAGGTCATTCTATTCTTTCTTTATTTTTTGTATCCTCACCCAAGGATATTTTTGCATTTATCTTCAGATAGAGCAGGAGGGAGAGAGAAAGAGAAACATTGATGTGAGAGAGACACATCGAGTGGTGGCCACCCACACGACCCCCACCGGGGCTGGGGACAAACTGCAACCGAGGTATATGCCCCTAGCGGGAACCCAACCTGGGTCTCTCTGGTCTGCGGGCCGACACTCTAACTATTGAGCCAGACCCGCAGGGCATTCCGTTATTTCTGACAATGGCCGGCCAACAAAGCAACAGAAGAAGCTGTGTCTGAAGGTGACTGGCTTTTCAAGCCTTCCCCCCTCAATTCTCTGATATGGGTTCTTCCCCAGTTACCTTGCATTTTCACCTCGGCAGTGATGGGGAGAGGGAGAGGGTGAGAAACTATCTTTCATTTCTTCTCTTGAGAATCTAAGGCCCTTCTATCCTTGGAATCAAAGAAGGGCTTCCAGTCAATATGAAGTCTACTATTCTGTGAATAGTCCGCAGGGTGCACACTCACAGAAACTGTTTTGCGGGTTTGGTTTTATTTTCCGAAGCCTGTTCTTGAGGCAGCCATAGGGCGCTACAGTGGGCATTAGAAACTATTACAAAGCCCTTCCCAGCTTCGTGACCTAGGAGCTGTGTGACACTGGGTGGCTGAACCGTGCTCTCCGTGTTCCTTCCCATTTGAAAAATAAAAACTAACAATTTCTGTTCTAATTTTCTTTGGTGGGGGTAGAGTTTGATGTTAAAATGTGCATTAATTACTAATCACTGAGCTCATTAGTAATGCAATTTGGAATTCAAGATTAACAAATTACATTCTTTAGTTTATGCTTAGCTAACAGCCTAAATATTTCAAAAGACTTTCATTTTCAAGAACAAAGTACGCCCTGGCTAGTTTGGCTCAGCGGTTGAGCATCGGCCTGTGGACCAGAGAGTCCCAGGTTTGGTTCCCGCTATGGGCATGTACTGCAAAAAAGAAAGAAAGAAAAAGGACAAAGTATCCTAGTGTTTGATAAAGTATTAAAAGATAAACTTTTTAAATTAACTTTTTTTATTGATTGATTTTAGAGACAGAGGAAGGGAGAGGGAGAGAGAAACATTGATAAGAGAGAACATCGATTGGCTGCCTCCTGCATGCCCCTCACTGGGGATCGGGCCCACAACCCTGGCATGTGCCCTGACTGGGAATCAAACCAGCGACCTCTTGGTGCATGGGATGCTCTAACCATTGAACCACACCAGCCAGGGCAAGCAAATTTTTAAAAATTCTCACCCGAGTATTGATTTGAGAGAGAGAGAGGGAGAAAAACATCGACGTGTGAGAGAAACGTCATTGGTTGCCTTCCATCCAGGCCCCAGCTGGGGATCAAACCTGCAACCTAGGTCTCAACCGGGAATCGAACCCACAACCTTTTGGTGTACGGGTTGATGCTCCAACCAAATGAGCCAGCTGGCCAGGGCAAGCATGTTAAGCAATTTTTTTTTTTATCCAAACATTTATCTCACTGTTACTCAACCATGTGGGATGTTTAAAAAGAAGTAAGAGTAGCTTGTCTTCACTCCAAACCTGTTAAAAGCAGAACCTCCAGGGTGGAGCACCAACAGAGAACAGTGGATCAACTTTCCTTTGAGAAAGATTAAAACAAATATATCTAGCGGATTAAGCACCCTATGTGTCAAAGAAGCACATGCTGAGTAGCAGAGAGTTTATAGACGTTTGGATTTTAAGCTGCAGTTGACCCAGTACGAAGAAACAGCTGCAATGAACCTAGCTGTGGTCCTGGTGCTCTGTGTCTGCTGTGTGCTTCTCCTTTCACTGTGGAAGCAAAGCTCTGGAAAAGGGAACCTTCCGCCTGGCCCCACTCCTCTTCCAATCATTGGAAATATTTTCCAGTTAGATGTGAGGAACATCACCAAATCCCTGAGCAGTGTAAGTATGTTTTATGTTCCTCCAGCAGCTTGCAAAGGGTAAGTTAACATCTACTTTTATTTTATTTTATTTTATTTTATTTGGCCACGGCAAGAGTAAAGTTTTAATTTTATTTAATTTATAATTTTATTTTATTTTTTGATCTTTATTGTTGAATGTATTACAGATGTTCCTCATTTTCCCCCCATTGACCCCCTCCTCCCCACTCCCGCCTCCCTCTTACCTTTACCCACACTGTTGTCTGTGTCCATTGGTTACATATCACTTTTTTGGTTTATTTCTTCCCATCTCCCAACCCCCTTCTCGTTGAGGTTTGTCAGTCTAGCAACCAATTTTTACTTCATAATCCCTTCACCTTTTTCACCCATTCCCCCAACCCCCCTCCCATCGGGCAACCAACAAAATGTTCTCTGTATCTATGAGAATGTTTCTGTTCTGCCAGTACATTTTGTTTGTAGGTTCCATTGTCGATAGATATGTATTCATTGCCATTTTGTTTATTCATACATTTTACCTTTTTCTTCAAAAATACCCTTCAACATTTCATATAAAAACGGTTTGGTGGTGATGAACTCCTTTAACTTTTTCTTGTCTGGGAAAGTCTTTATATGGCCATCGATTGTAAATGGCAGCTTTGCAGGATAGAGTAACCTTGGTTGTAGGTACTTGCTTTTCATCACTCTGAATATTTCTTGCCACTTCCTTCTGGCCTACTAAGTTTCTTTTGAGAAATCAGCTAGCATTCTTATGGTAACTCCCTTGTAGGTAACTAACTGCCTTTCTCTTGCTGCTTTTAAGATTCTCTCTTTGTCTTGAACCTATTGCATTTTGATGATGATGTGTCTTGGTGTGGGCCTCTTGGGGTTCATCTTGTTTGGGACTCTCTGTGCTTTCTGGACTTGTATGTCTGTCTCCTTCACCAAGTTAGGGAAGTTTTCAGCCATTATTGTTTCAAACAGGTTTTCGATTTCTTGTTCTCTCTCTTCTCCCTATGGCACCCCCAAGATGCAAATGTTGGCATGCTTGAAGTTGTCCCAGAGGCTCCTTACACTCTCCTCATTTTTTTGGATTCTTTTTGCTGTTCTGATTGGGTGTTTTTTGCTTCCTTATATTCCAAATCGATGGTTTGCTTCTTGACTTTACCTACTCTACTATTGAATCTGCATAAATTATTCTTTATTTCAGTTAGTGCCTCCTTCATTTCTGACTGTGGATCCTCCATTTCTGACTGGTCCTTTTTTATGCTCTTGAGGCCCTCACTAAGTTCATTGAGCATCCTTATAAGCAGTATTTTGAACTCAGCATCTGTTAGGTTGCTTATCTCCATTGCACTTAGTTCTTTTCTTGGGGTTTTATTCTGTTCTTTCATTTGGAACCCGTTTCTTTGTCTCCTCATTTTGGCCGCCTCCCTGTGTTTGTTTCTGTGTAGTACTTAACGAGAGGTATGGGGCTATCTGACACCAGATGCTCCTTGTTTGAAAGAATTTAGGAAAACCGGAAGCAGGATCCAAGACAGGCCAATCCTTTGGTGAAGCAACTGGCAACAGCTTGGGTGGGGCTGAAAGTTGGGTGAGGCGGGGCCTCAGGGAATCACCAGGGCGGGGCTACCAGTGTGAGCCAGGTTGCTGGAGTCCCAGATATGGGGAGTGTCTGACGCACCAGGGAAGGGCTCACGAAAAAAACAAAGGCCTCTGACAGCACGTTTGTCCTGGAAAAATCCCCCTCTCCAGCCCTCCCTCCAGTGCCAAACAGCTCAGTTCTTCCCTGTATGTCTCTGGTGCCCCTCAAACTGCCTCCCCTCCAAGCTTAGAGGGAGAGAGTCCGATAAGTCCGTGCGCGGGCCCTTTAAGGGGCTGCCTGGGGCTCCAGCTGCCTCAGCCTCCCTGAGCCTCAGTTCCCGCTGGTTTTTCCAGCCAGAAGTTATGGGGACTTCTCTTCCTGGCACTGGAACCCTGAGTGGAGCACCTGGTGTGGGACGGGGACCCCTCAGTCCTCAGGGAGGACCTTCCCAGCCGAGGTGTCCTCCTGATTTTTATCCGCCACACGTGGGTGTGGGACCAGCCCCTCTGCCTTCGCCCCTCCTACCAGTCTCGATGTGGCTGCTGCTTTAATTCCGTAGTTGTAGGACTTCCATTCAGCTCGATTTCAGGCAGTTTTGAATGATGGTTGTTCTGTAGTTTAGTTGTAACTTTGATGTGGTTGTGGGAGGACCGATACTGCGTTTACCTACACTGCCATCTGGACCGGAAGTCCAACATCTACTGTTAAATAAAATAGATTTACCCAAATATATTTTAAAATAAAATTATGTCATTGTAAAGCAAATATTCCCCATGGAGTATTATTTTCCGTCTCCCATCCACATAAATAGTGACATAAAATACTAGTGCGTTTTACGGGCGAGGTACGTGGGGTCTCTGTATGCTAGAATCAAAGTAATGAAGGAGCGGAAGACGGGAGACCTGCTGCCCTCTTCCGTTTCTCCATCACGTACTATGATTTTTAGCTGAAGATAAATGGTGAGGAAAGTGGTTTTTTAAAAAATGTTTTTATATATTTTTTAGAGCGAGAAGAAGGGAGAGAGAGATAGAAACACTGATGTGAGAGAGAAACATCAATCGGCTGCCTCCTGCACACCCCTCACTGGGGATGGAGCTGGCATCCCTGCATGTGCCCTGACCAGGAATTGAACCGGGACCTCTCTGTCCATGGGGCTAGGCTCAACCCACTAAGCCACACCTGCTGGGCAAGGGAAGGGTTTTTGCTTAGAGGTTTCATTCAAGAAGTCATTGGAAGAAGAATTTACTTTGGCTGGTGGGCACACAACGCAACATACTGATGATGTATAGAATTGTACACTTGAAACCTATATAATTTTATGAACCAATGTCACCCCAATTAATTTAATTTAGAAAAGAAGTCATCTGCTATATAAACACTGTGCTCTGTTCAGACTAGCTATGGAAACCACTTTTCTGAGGAAGCAAATTATGCCTGATGGCAAGGAACAAACTGGGATTAGGAACAGTGTAAGTGAATGAAAGAGGAAAGTTATCAGGGCCAGCTTGCTGGTAACAGGATCCTTTGACCACAGGCAGCAGCTCCGTGGCTGTCTGCCGCCAAGACTGCGGCAGGTGGAAGGAACTGTTCCTTGGAGAGACTGCATGTCCCGGCGCTGCCCCCGTGCGGTGCGCACGCTCCTCTGTGTGGGTAATACCAGCGGATCATGAACCGGGCCGGGCTTAGAATGCCCCGGGGTGATTTTTTAGAGTATAGATTTCTAATATTCATCACCAGGCTGCTGAATCCGAATTCTGATGGCAACAGCTCTACAGGTGATCGTGAAGGAGCCAGCGGGGTATCGGTCCTCTGGTGGTCACTGGGGATTGATATATTGCTCAAGGATCAGAGGTCGAATAAGAAGAGCTTCAAATTTCGATCTTCTACCTAGTAGCTAGAGGATGATGAAAAGGCATGGGAATTCGCTGACATCAGTTTCCTTGTTTGTAAGTGGAGCAAGTGCCGCTGGCAACGCTGCTGCGAGGAGTCATTGCAATCTCTGCAAATGACGCCTCGGTGGCAGCTATTAACAATCACCCTCATATTGATGGATTAATTTCAGAGGTATTTTAGGCTGTGTCCCAGAAAAACAAACCAAACAGGATGATTATATCATTCTCAACCAGGCACAATAGATTGTCCAATGGTGACTTCTGCTAATAGTAGACCCTTCCTTCCACTGCCCAGCTCGCCAAAGTCTACGGCCCGGTGTTCACGGTGTACCTGGGCCCGCAGCGCACCGTGGTGCTGCACGGGTACGAGGCCGTGAAGGAAGCCCTGGTCGAGCGGGCGGAAGAGTTTTCCGCGAGAGGCTCGTTCCCAGTGGCTGAAATAACGAACAAGGGACTTGGTAGGTGTGCCTGTGTACAAGTGCTTCTTTGGTAACAAGGGCGAGGCGGATGGATGGAAAATAGGAACGGGCACAGGTCTTCCCAGGGCCTTGCCCATCCGCCAAGCGCCAGCTCCCGCCTCCTCGCCTGGGCCCTCCACGCGAGTTTCTGTTTCCCTTCCTCGCAGGAATCCTGTTCAGCAATGGAAAGAGCTGGAAGGAGATCCGGCGCTTCACCCTCACGACCCTGCGGAACCTGGGGATGGGAAAGAGCAGCCTTGAGGCCCGCGTTCAGGAGGAAGCCCACCACCTTGTGGAGGAGTTGAGGAAAACCAATGGTGCGTGATGCTGTTCATTGTGACCCCCCCAGACTGTTCTCTTCTCTAATGAGGCCCTTGGAAACATTTCAGGGGCGACCAAGTCTTTCCTCTGGGCAGTGGTACGTCCTCACGTGGAGCGGCGAGGGTTGGAAGCAGAGCGCCCAGGCGGTTGTGTGCTCCATGCTTACTGTGTGTGCACACCCGTGGTTGTGCACGAGTGTGGGTAGAACGGGTTATTTCATCCTGCTCTCTCCCAAACTTAGTTTCCAAATCAGAAATCAGGAAGATTAGTTTTGAGTCATGTTTTTAAAAAGCTAGGAGACAATGCTTTTGCTACTGCATCAATGTGGGTATTTACTCCCGAGCATTTCACCAGGTGATACTTGTGAAGCGGGCGTGGTGGGAATGGCCTCATCACACCCTTATGGAGCAGGTGGCAAGTGCTGTGTGCCTTCATTTACTTGGCATATATTTGTATGGTTAGCCTCACAGACATCTCTGTGATACTTTCAGGGCCCAGGCCCACAGTTTCGGCCAGTAATGATGCCATCTATGGTTCTATTCGCTGAGGCATGTCTTTGTGCAATTCTCATCACTCATGGTTTCTCTGTAAAGGCAGCGCTATTTTAAACACATCAGCATTCATTACTTTCTGTTACCCAGTACTCATTGTATTGATTTATGTTTTTGTGTTGTTAACCCTCACTTGAAGATATTTTTCCATTGATTTTTAGATAGAATGGAAGGAAGGGAGGGAGAAAGAGAAAAACATCGATGTGAGAGAAACACACAGATTGGTTGCCTCCCGCACAATTCCGACCAGGGTGAGGAATCAAATCTGCAACCAGGTACATGCCCTTGACCAGGAATCAAACCCTCGACCCTTTGGTCCACGGGCCGATGCTCTAACCACTGAGCAAAACTGAGCCAGGGCTGATTAATGTTACAAATATTAATGAAGTTATAAAATATTTTATTTAAGTAGATGTCAACCATTATCAGTTTCTACTTACCCTGTCTTCTCTATGTGGAATTTGGCTCTGTGTTCAGTGTGATAAAACTTTGCCCCAACTTAACAAGTGTATGGTAATTATTTGCCTTCCATGGCCAGATGTAATGACCTGAAAAGTGCTTGTCAAAATAACTGATTTTTAGTTTGGATTACAGATTACCCTGTTTTGAAGTTCTTTCTTCCAGATTAGTGAAAGGAAAGACTGAAATTATATTTCACCTGTGAATCACATACAAAGACATTCCTATGGCTTTTCAAATTATCTTCTACCTATCAGGTTAAAATAAAAGACTAGCCCTGGAAGGGTGGCTCACTCAGCTGATTGGACCATTGTCCTGTACACCAAAAGGTTGCAGGTTCAATTCCCAGTCAGGATACATACCTGGATGGTGGGTTCAATCACCTGTTGGGGTGCATACGGGAGGCAACCGATCAATGTTTCTCTCTCACATTGATGTTTCTCTCTCTCTTGCTTCCTTCCTCTCTCTCTAAAAGTTAGTGAAAAAATATCCTCGGGTGAGGATTACAAAGAAAAAAAAGTTATTTTAAAGCTTAGAGCCCTAGAACATTGAAGGGAGCCTGGCCTAGAAGCCACTAACTGAGTTTCCTTTTACTCCCTGCCCTACTATTTCCCCCACATTTTCTTTTGTTTTTGGTACGTGCCCCTAGTGGGAACCGAACCCGGGACTCTGGTCTGCAGGCCAACGCTCCACCCGCTGAGCCAAACCGGCCAGGGCTCCCCAACATATTTTTTTTAATTTATAGTAAAAAGCACATAACATAAGATCCACCCTCTTTTTCTTGTTGTTTTTGTTAATCCTCACCCAAGGATATTTTTCCATCAATTTATTTTAGATAGAGTAGAAGGGAGAGGAGAGAGAGAGAGAAGCATCAATGTGATGGGTTGCCTCCTGCACAACCCTGACTGGAGCTGGGGATAGAACCTGCAACCCAGGTATGTGCCCTTGACCGGGAATCAAACCTATGTCCCTTTGGTCTGAGGGCCCATGCTCTAACCTCTGAGTCAAACCGGCCAGGGTGAGATCTACTCTCTTAACAAATTATTAAGCATAAATCACAGTATCTGGCAGCTGACTCCTGAGCAGGGTTCAAACTCCTAGAATGGGGCAACAGGTAATGGGGGGGCTATTGCGTTCTCCCAGGCTGATGCCACTTGGAGGGGAGTGCTCTACACAAGAAAGATGGCATCTGCCATGTTGGAGAATGACTGCACAGGGATCCTGGAGGCTGCTCCTTCAGCTCTCTCCCCAGAGCCACAAAACCAGACTGTCCCACAGCACTATAGTCCACTCCACCTTCCCTCTGCCACAGCCCAGGATGAGTGGTTGCCAATGAGATTTTGTGCATTGTCACCTGTGTCTCTAGCTGACTCCTATTTGTCCCTGGTGGGCAGAATCTCTGCTAATTTTCACAACCAGACATTACATGGGTGCCTCTTCCTGGCCATGGTGCTCTGGGCTGGGGAGCCGAGTTTGGGGTTGAGACCCCTCAATTCTCAGGGGAACCTCTGCAGCTGAGATATCCCTCTGGAATCTCAGCCACAGCCCTTGGGAGCAGGGCCAGGCCTTTTCATGTCTCACTGTTACTCCCAATCTCAATGTGGCCTCTTCTGTAAGCCCTTGGTTATAAGGCTTCTCTTCAGTTAGTCTTTAGTTCATTATTCAGGCTGCTTGCTCTGTATTTTAGTAGTAATTCTAGTTTGGTCATGGGAAGAGGTGAGTGTAACATCCACCTACTCTGCTACCATCTTGGATTCTCCAGGAGAGTAGTACTTTTAAACACTGAAATAAAAGATTAGCCTTTGCCAGTTTGGCTCAGTGGTTAGAGCATTGGCCTGTGGACCAAAGTGTCATGGGTTCAATTCCTGGTCAAGGG